ATGTTGTCCCCCACTGGTGTGCTCCCCATGGAGCCCTACTATTGGGTGTCATGGGCTTCTTTTTTGGGTACTTCCTGAAGGAAGCTTTTCTAGATATAATTTTGCATTGGCTCTTCCACTTTTTCAGTATGGGATTCTGGCAGTTCTGTGTGAAGAGGTGAATTATTTTCCCAGAAGTTTAAATTTTTCCAATTGAAGATGTATTTCTGCACGTATTCCCACTTCCAGTGCACTTTCCTTGTCTAAGAATGAAATTATCATGAGTGCAGTTGCATAGGAGGAACTACTACACATGGAGTTTGTGTTATGTTGCCCTTCTATTAATGAAGGTTTATTGTCAAATGACGATGTCATTTTGCACCAGCACAGTTAACGTTAAACATATGAATTTTGGTAGGAGTTAGCTCAAGGCTAGTGACTTGCAAATCTCATAGCATTTCTCTGTGCACAAATATCTGTTGGAAATTCATTTTCAGTTTATGGAAATGTTAATGTTTAATACCATATTAAAATAATTGTTTGAATATTTATCAAGACAGCAGACTCAGTTCCTTTTATTTTATTGAATTGTATTGTGGTGGGAGTTGGAGGGGGGGTAGACATTATGTTTCTCACAAAATGCATGAATGACAATCTACAGAAGACGTTTTTCATATGAAATCAAAAGCAAGTTGAAAATTACTGAACTCTATCACTGAGCTTGGTCAATTCAACCAAGTTCATGACCCCAAATTCACCTTTAGAGTTTCCATATCATAACTTCCAATGTTTTGTGTATCTTCGTGAAATTTTCCAAGCTTTCCGTAAGCATTACAACTATCTTGTATACAAAAAATCAGAATTTTTAATGAATTATTTTTACTATAAATTTCTCTGTGAATACGTGGAGTCAGTGTTGACTGCTCCAGGTGCAAAGTGATTTTCATGTTACGATTAAAAACACTTTTCTTCATTTGAAAATTGTCAAGTTTCATTTGTGTAATCTTTAAACTTTTCTAAATAAATTTCAAATGTTTTCCCAGTAAAACTTTATATTTTATTTGTTATATTCTTTATACTAACTATAAAAAAAAGTTACCCCTTTTTCTTTCTAGAATGACTTTAAATTGTTAAAGGAAACTACAGTTGTTTATCCTAAATTGCTTAAAGCTTGTTACAGTATACATTTGTTTCTGCTTAAATTCACATTATCCTGTCAAATTTTGTAACTCAAGCTGCGCACGAATATACCTCATGAAAAATTTTAAATAATTTTTTCTTTATCTTACCTTATCCGACCTAATAAGTTTGTTATTTATACATTTTAGTTACTTGTAAAATAATAAATAAAGAATACACATGAAAAACAAGAAATATAGTACTTACTTTGGTCATGGTCTTTTTTTTTTTTACTGTCGACTTTAGATGAAACTTAACCCTACTTTTTAATATTAATGGTAGTGATACATTAAATAATTTTTTATTTAATTAAAAATGTATCTAATAACACATAAAAAGCAGACAATGTCTTATTATTATTATTATTATAACTACCATAATTTTTCTGGCTTTCTGATTGCGATTAAAACTGTTAAATATTCATATGAGCTCATTATTATGTTTCCCGTGTGAATAAAGTTTGAACTGTAAGCAAAACAGACAATTCTCTGTACAGAAAACAATATAATACAATACATCATTTGATAGATTAAAACTTTGAATTTCTATTTGTTATAAATAATATAATATTAAATGTCAGAAAGAACTATTCACAATTTGTGGAAGAGAGGATGTGACAGGTAGGTGTGGCAAGTGGGTTTAGTTTTTGAGTTTGAGTATCTGTATTATAATAAGCAATTTAAGTTAAATTTCATAGTTCTTGGAGGAGTGGAAAATATATTAGAGAAGTGAAAATACTTCTAGAGAGAAAATGTCAGTTCTGATACTAGGGGAGGTTGAGGATTTTTAAAATATTTCCTTATGAAATTAAAACTTAAAATTTTAACAATATTAAAATTTGATTTATTAACTACGTTTTGATGCCAAGGTTGTTCATATACCATGATAATATAGTGTTTAATTAAATTTTGAAAGTAACTCTTAAAAAGTTATGTGTGCACTTTGACATTATATATTATAAGACGAAATAACTTGATGGAAGAAGTATTTTGAAATGAAATACTTCATTTCTAATACTAGTGTAATGCTAACTACACTTACTACAGTTTTAAAAGCTTATTTGACTAAGAAACTACTATTAATAGTGTTACTAGTCACAGTACAAAAAAATAAATTTTGTTTCAGTCCTGGGTAGAATTTATCGATGGACAGAAATGAGATTTATGTTGAAATATATTGTGGAAAAAATATTTTATATCAAGGATGTCACTATGACATATATATTAGAGAAGTGAAAATACTTCTAGAGAGAAAATGTCAGTTCTGATACTAGGGGAGGTTGAGGATTTTTAAAATATTTCCTTATGAAATTAAAATTTAAACAATATTAAAATTTGATTTATTAACTACGTTTTGATGCCAAGGTTGTTCATATACCATGATAATATAGTGTTTAATTAAATTTTGAAAGTAACTCTTAAAAAAGTTGTGATGTATGCACTTTGACCTCCCCATTGCAAGAGAGTTAATAAAACAAATAAGACAAATGAAATTATGAAGTTTAATACCATGCTAGAATAGTTCAGTTTCAAAATTTGTGAAGCCAGTAAACCCAGTTCCTTCTATTTCATTGTATGGTGGTGGGGGTTGGAGGGAGCATGTACTAATTGATTAATCGAATATAATAGATTAATGAGCCACTAATAATCCAGCCTTGTACCTAGAGGATTTTAAGCAGCCATTATATATTATAAGATGAAATAACTTGATGGAAGAAGTATTTTGAAATGAAATACTTCATTTCTAATACTAGTGTAATGCTAACTACACTTACTACAGTTTTAAAAGCTTATTTGACTAAGAAACTATTATTAATAGTGTTACTAGTCACAGTACAAAAAAAGAAATTTTGTTTCAGTCCTGGGTAGAATTTATCCATGAACAGAAATGAGATTTATGTTGAAATATATTGTGGAAAAAATATTTTATATCAAGGATGTCACTATGACGAAAATGTATTTGGTCAACATAAAATTTGCTATCTTAATTATGCAAAGAAATATGTATACATTACCACTAGGTGGCTGCTCACTGGTATAAAGTGTTTTTTAAGAAACATAAGAACTCATCTAGCATTACTTTACATTTTTCAGCTATAAATAATAATGCTGTCAGTAATAATACCTTTGCGATACTTGAGGATTCATTAAAATCTTACAATTGCAAACTTGAATCTGAGACTAATTCAACAAAATTCATGAATACTACTTTTCTTCAGTTTTTAAGAAGGTCCATTTTGGTTTTGGTTTCATGTAAATAATGCAGATATTTTTAAAATCTTATTGTAAATTTTGTAGGGGAAGAAAATCTATCCTCTGTGGTATTTTCTAGTACATAGATATCTCACAATGTAGTAAGTTAGTTAAATGATATTTAATGTTACAAACCAAAAAGTTAAAATCTAGCAATCTCTAAATCTACTAAAAGTTTTAAAAAAAATAAAAATTTGTTATACAAAGGAGAACATGGGTTTTAATACAAAACAATTAAAATAATGTTACATCACACAAAGCCAGGTTGCACACACCACTCCTTAACCATGAGACTTTCATCCACTATAAATAAAGTACAGGGGCATAATAAAGACTGCCTTATATTTTAGGACATCTTGAGATATCATTTTCTACAAGAAAATACTATTAAAAGCCAATTAGTCAAACCAGGTCCTGGGCAGAGATGGAAATGGAAAAATTTGGTGTGTTTAATATTCAATACCAAAATTCTGCTTTTCAAAAACCAAGAAAAAATTAAAAATACATATAAATTACAACAAAAGGAAAAGCTGTTTGAAATCATACAACTCAGAACCTATTTATAATGTCAGGTACTGTTTACCACTTGACAAATTAGTATAAGAAACAAGTAATAAATTGAAAGTCTTTTCTTCTAAAAATGTCTCGCAATGGGACAAAATTAAGTTTATGGGCTTACAATGTTAAAATCCAGGGTTCAATTCCCCATGGTGGAAATTGCAGATAGCCCAATGTGGCTTTCCTCTAAAACAAGCAAAATTTCTAAAGTATCAGAAATCAGTCTGGCGCTGATTAATATTGTATATATAACAAAAATACATTGCACTTTATAGAATTACAGTATGTTGTGTATTTATTTCAGACTTTAATAAAGTTTGATGATGACTGAAATGCTTTGAATATTATCAGGCTTATTAAAATCTTTGTACTGCCATATCTGCTTACAAAAAAAGATTGTATCACTAAAAGGGTGACATAAACTGTAGAAGTTGGTGATAATTATGTATCTAGCAATATCTGCTTCTTTTTGTATAATATGGAATTTTATTCTTGAAAATCTGCTGGAATCCCATTTCTCTCATTTTGAAACGTATATATGGGTACTATACTATTATCTGTCTTTCTTTTATTATTATTTTTTTATTTAAGAAATTAGTGGTTTGACTGTCATTATATATGCTGTTCATCAACATTCTTAAAATGTTAAATTTAATGTAATAAAATCCTTTGTATGGATGATATTAGTGACAGGAAACATATATTATGCTTACATTTTGTCATTGGTTCATAGCAGCATCTTCAGGTAAGTAGCACAGTTTTATTTGTAATTTTAATTAGTCTTTATGTATGACAAACAATGATATTCTTTAGTTTATTCAGTTATTGAATCTGTGAATTAGATTTTTAGCTAACTGTTTTGGTTTTGATGCTTTTCTTCCATAGGTTTATTATGTAATAACAATATACATGTCCATATTTTGAATAACCATGAAAATTGGAAAGTCACTGTTAAAAAGAAAAGTAAAAATGCACAGTACGTGTGTATAAACATCAAAAAAGTTGATCAGTACATTTATTCTTGTTCTGTAGAAGAAAAATCGTCTGTACTAAACTGGTTGTTTCGAAAAGGAATGATGCGAGCTGAAAAAAGGACTTCAAAATTGACAACATTTTCAGCACAGTTTCCACCAGTTAGTGGGCAGGATGTTGAGACTGTTCACCTTCATTCTCGTGGAACTCAAACATTGAATGAAGATATGTTTGTCACATCTAAGGTACATTTTTTATATACACAATTGCATTTGAAACTGTAAAATTTAACAAGGGTTAATATTATGAGTGTTATACTATACCAACTATGAAAAAAACTAGTCAATTCCAGTTTTATAAGCTGTGCATATGTAAACATTATTGTTTCTATCATTACTTATAGCACAAATATGTATAAAAACATGCTTACGTCAAATGACTCTTTAGGATGTTGTAATTTGAAAATTTGCCTATCACTATTTGATTGGTTGCTAGTAATTGGAAGATTCCATTAATCTTCAGTTTCTCACTTTTCATTTTCTGAATCATTTTTGAAATCAATGTCAATCTAAGGTTAGGACTTTTGGGTGAGAAATGGTCTTATTTTTAATTATAATTTTTTTCCAAGAGTACAGAAAATTAATACATAATGACAAAAAATTTTATTTATGTATAAGACAAAATAACTAATTGAAATTTGTTTAGGTGATGAAACCAGAAACGGTTTACAATGTTGTCTGAAAGAATGAAAACTTGTGTATGATGATGTGATAATTTAATATTGCTGCTGTTAATTAATCTCATGATCATCATTTGAGGTTTATTAGAGAAGATGAATGATTAAATTGTTTAATTGGTATAATCAATTACCTATGACTGTCAAAAACATTGAGTAGCATCACATAAAATAATTGATTAATCCAAATTATTATTATGTCAATTAATGCTATGAAAATTATCAAATATTTGTAATTTTTTCCTTTTATTACTGTTTTTGATTATTCCAACTGTACAAGTCTCAGGTGAGAATAATCAATTTGTTAAATGTAATTGATTAATGAGCTTGAAAATTTATTGACTAGCAAAATTCATAATACCCATATCTAAAGTTTATACTGAAATGAATATAAATCCTATAACCTGAGCACTTTCGAAAAGGTGGATCTTTCTTCTTCAGGGGCAAACTAAAGAAGAAAGGTCCACCTTTCAAAAGTGCTTAAGCTCTAGGGTTTTTATTTATTTCTTTCAAGACTTTTTGAACCTGCGTGTTTTTCTAACATCATAAAGTTTATACTGTATAGTGGCAAAGACTGAAATGAGAAAGCAAAAGTTAAAGTAAGATAATGAAGATGTTAAAAATCAATTTTCTGGTTATAGTTGGAGATCATAATCATTGTTTTTATAGGAAAAAAACTAAGAAACTGAACAAGCTTTCAAAGAATCAAAATTTATTGTCTACCTCTTTCCTTTATGAAGTCAATTTGCATTGAGTCATGTAATTATGAAAGTTTCAAATATTTCAATGTGCACAGAGAATGTATTATTGTGAATTACTTCTATTCAAGCATTTTCTGAACTTTTACAACTTTTAGGTCCTATGCAGTCACTGCTTACTAATTTGTTAGTTTTTAGTGCCTGAATCAAGTATTTAAACAGTTTTAACTCATCAAGCATGGGCTCAATCCCTCGGACTGACCTCGTAACCATTTTGTGCTTGTTATAGTTTTCAGGCTATAACTTTTATATTAGTAGGTGTATGTTAACGAAATTTGGCAGATTATCAGTAAACATTACAATGCTTTCATATGCAAAATATACATTTTTTTATTGAGTCTCAAAGTTTGTAAAGCAATGTTTTTCTCATGCTTTTTTTCTTTTTGCATGTTCCTATCCAACATCCAAAGTAATTTTCATTTTAAGATTAAAAACACTTGTGCATCAGAAAAGTTTCACATGTTACCTGCAAAATCTTTACAACGTCCAAATGGTTATCAAACATTTCTTAAGAAAAAACTTTATATTTTTTTTGTTATTTTCAATAATGAATCTCTGCACAGATTCGGGAGGTTTGACTGATCTCGTAACCACTGTAAAAAAATTAGGAAATAAATATAAATTAAGCATCTTTCATTCTAGAATGATAACAAATTGTAACACGAAAACATAAATGTTAAGGCTAAATAGCTTAAATCTTGTAACATTATACATTTATATATATTTATTATACTGACCTTTCAGCCTTGCCTGACTTACATTACAGAAGCTACAATGGCACGGCACACGTGCACTCATGTTACCATTATCCAATAATATAAAACTGGCCTGTAGTCTTTACAAAGTAACCTGTCTTGGCTGTGTTTTAGTAAACTAGTGTTTTGTAAAATATAGTCACATTGCAATTATTATGCATTATATATGATATAGATTATCGTTATTTAGAAATAAGTTCTTAAACTTATTTTTCTTAAAACATAGAACAGTAAATAAAAAAATAAAGTAAACAATTATCTCTTCTGGTTATGACTTTTGTATTTAGTTGCTGCTTGACATAGGCTGCTTAGCCTTTTAAAATTTCGCAAATAGAGGATATCAAAGGAAATAATTTTTTTAGGTTTTATATATACAGTTGAATAATCAAAAAAATCATAAATTACTATATCGATAGCATAGAATTCCACTATAATTTATCATGCTTAGTAAATAAGCTGTATTTCAGTCTAAACAAATATGAAATTTGGAGCAGACTAGAGACACAACCTACCTCCTTGAAATCTTGGTTTGAAAGAAAGAGATGGCATTCAAACACCTTAAGATGGCTGAGAAAGTCACTAGGGAGACATTCTGAGCTTTTGATTGGTTATTCATGTCACATATAGAAGTAAGTGTATATAAAGGAGCATTTCTAAGAATGGAAAAAGGTGGAAAAGAGGCTGTGTTTGATTTATTACATGAGCAATATTATAGCAAATAGAAAAGATAAGAGGTTCTTATATTATAGCTTGTCAATATCTGTAACTTGAGTTCCTAATTCGTACACAACTATAGACTTAGTATTTTGACATCACAAATATCTAATATGAAACAGTGCTGCATACAACATACCATGTGACACACACAAATTGATCTTTAATTTTTTTTTATATTTACTTTTAAATTAAGAAATTGAGTAATGTATAATATAAAAATTTGAATTATAATCTA